TATGATGCTCGCGGCGGGTCCTCTTAGATGTGATTTGAGGTACATGAACTTCAGTGACGCTGGCACACTGGTGTTGTTGTGCACCGCTGTCGAAAAGAGATCCCAAAACTCCAAAAAATTGTCGACATCTCCGTGGAAGGTTGGAATCTCGAAGCTGGGCAACTTCAAAGACTGTTCCATGGGAAGAGATGAATTGGCATTGGGGACTAAGTAAGAAGCAAAAGGATTCGACTGATGAAACGTTGGAGGGGGGTTTGCAAAAGTGGGGTGAGTTGATGGGTCTTGGGATGAGCCGTCGAATCCTTGCACGTCGCTTAACGCGCGTGCCGGTGGGGGTTGATCAGCTGGCGCGACTGCATCAGGGTCAGCTGGACGATCCTGCTCATGCGATGAAGAATGGCTCGCGACCTCCATTCTTTCATCTCGCGCGGGCTGATGGGAGCTAGGGTCCTGGGTCGGATAAGGAGTGAAGTTACAAAAAGAAAAAGGAACAGCAGAAGTGCGAAAGTAGTATAATGCCTCCGAGCTTGACAGGAGTTTGATCGCAGCATCAACACGATCTCGGAGAGTTTCAGCTTCCTCCACAAGCTCATCCAGTTCATTGGCGTCCCAATGATCCTGAATCTGTTGGAGGAAGGGGAACTCGCCGCTCTCGTCAGGATGCTGACGGGCAAACTCCTCGGCCTTCTCTCTATGGGCGCGAAGAGTATCAACAGCACGACCAAGAGTAGTAGAATGAAAAAACAGTAAACTTTTACGACTAAGAACAAGCTGTGGATCCTTACCTGCCTCCGTGGTAAGGTCCAACGGCTCCAAGATGGCCTTATCGAGTTCCGTGATCTTGTTACGGAGTACCTTGGCGGCTTTGGTAATACTAGTCTTGTAAACATTGAGCATCGACATTACCTGGAAAAGATAGGAAAGAAAAACAGTAAGGAAAATAAAGTGATATATACATAAACGATAAATATGAAGTGAGTAACATATGATGCAAATAACCATCCTAAACCGACAACAAATGGGGTGAACCGGCGACTGGGGTCTCACAGGCGCAAGGCGATACAGGAGTAATACGACCGGATGTCACTGAAGAACACTTGCACGACACTGAGTGGCGCGCGTGTAACAAGGTGCCAAGACAAGTAACCTGCCGGAGGCCGGCCAGAAACTACTCAGGGCTCCTATTGGCGAATCGGAGGAGCCATCATTGATGACCCTGGGGCACTTGGACCATATTTCAATGAGAGCCGTGTTGCCTTCTAAGTGCCGTCTTCCAGTCATCATGCGTCCTGATGGTACCTTCCAACGTCCTGCACGGCACTGCCAACTTCTCAACACGGCTGCTCTCCGCCTGTACTAGGGGCGATGGGCGAACTAAAGGGGCAGAGAAACGAACGCGCAAGTGCGCTTATTTGCGCGAACGAAACTTACTCAAAGGTACCCCATGAAACACTACGCCGGGATCCGAAGGCGACTACGAGTTGTTAGCGATTAATAGAAAAATGAGGAAGGGTTAAACTACTGGGACGCTAATACCGGTCTGTGAGAAAAACTAAGCTACAGTAGAGCGAAAAAGTAGAAGGTGATGTGAAAGAAGATAACTAAAGGATTGAAATTAACCCCTAGTACCCATCCATACAACTTGCACTTACTTTACTACTATAATGCTAAAAAATCAAAAACAGTAGGACTCTTACTACCAAAACGTGCTAAAATCAAGAACAACGAGACTATGGCCCAAGCTCCTATGGACATAGGACGGTGCCGATCCATACCTCTGCGCTTTCCATCACGCCAACGATACAATCCGACTCTTGCGCGTCCACCGATACAATGCTGCGCAGTCCCTTGCAACTCTTCCATCCATCATCCGCCTCGCCTTCCGGATAGCGCGTACAACGATAAAGTACTGAGACGCATTCAACGATACGACACTATGTACACGTGCGACGATACAATACTATAACGTGTCCGACGATGCAGCACTACATATGCGCGCAACGATACAATGCTAAATCGCGCTCCTTCAACCAACCAATCGCCATCTTCCTACAATCCTCCATCGTCC